AAAAGGCCAAATAAGGAATTCAAACAAAAAAAAAAGTGATTTTCTGTTTTGTTTTCTTCTTGGATCAGGCTTTTAACTCATTGACTGCCAGCCATTTTCAGAACAGTCCCATACTGCCAGAGTTTTTTGAGCATTTTGACTGATTTTTCAAGAGCCACAGAATAGTTTGTGCTATGACTATGTGAACACCGAACACACCAAAAGAAAGAGGAGACTCTCTTCTTTCATCAGGAAAAAAAAATTGTTTCTACCTTATTCCGTTCTTCCTGGACTTGCGTCTCACCGGCGACATGTGCTCTCATATCGAACCGTTACCTTTTTCTTATTTGCCTACAGTCTATGCTCATCTCCCATCAAAAGTGGCACTGCCCCCTAGAGGGTCAATTTGTTACTACATACTCTGTCTAGAAGCCGATATTTACGGACAAGCTTTAGCAGATCGTCCCCCAGCCACTCTCGTTGAAAAACATAAAAGACGTCTATAGACGTCTTTGGCAGCCAATGAGTTAAGGGTTAACAAACCCACGCGTGGGAAACTGGACAGATTGGTTCATCGATAACGAGCTGGAACGTCTTAACGGGCTCCTTATCCCATATTAATAAATTATTAATGTAAAAAATGTATTGTCTGTAATGTCTGGTTTTTCTTTTTACATATTTTGTTAAAAGGCCAAATAAGGAATTCAAACAAAAAAAATATATAATTTTCTGTTTTGTTTTCTTCTTGGATCAGGCTTTAAAGGGTTAACAAACCCGAGCGTGGGAAACTGGACGGACTGGTTCATCGATAACGGGCTCGGGGGGGTTTCTGACCTGCTCGGGGGGGCCGGTAGCGGCGGCACCCGCTGGAGGGCCGGTGTCTGAGGTAGAGGCCGCAGCCGGCGGACCACAGGCAGCAGTGGTGGAAGCTCAGGACGTCGGTCAGCCAGTGGGAGTAACCCGGCACCCGGGGGGGGTCCCGGTACGGGGGCGCGCCCCGGTCGTGGGCCCGGTCGGGGGTGCCCCCCCCCCACCGAGTCGCCCGTCAGCACCAGGTCCCCCCCGACGTCGTAGCAGCACTGCTGCCCCGACCCCGAACCGGGACTGGAGACATGAAGGAGGAAAAACCACAGGAGATACAGCCCAACGCCTAATAAGATAAACATGTCAACTGTGAAAGTTATGTTTATGTTTATGTTTCTGCATTTGGCAGACGCTTTTATCCAAAGCGACTTACAGAGTAGACACAATATCACATTTCTCATCACTATGACAATAAGCTATACAGAGGAGAAACACTGATTAGAGTCAGTGGTGAGATAGAGATAGAGGTAGAGGGACTACAGAAGGAGCTGTGGGGGGTAGAGGTACGGGTTAGGGTTAGGATAGGAGCTGTGGGGGGGTAGAGGTACGGGTTAGGGTTAGGATAGGAGCTGTGGGGGGTAGAAGTACGGGTTAGGGTTAGGATAGGAGCTGTGGGGGGTAGAGGTACGGGTTAGGGTTAGGATAGGAGCTGTGGGGGGTAGAAGTACGGGTTAGGGTTAGGATAGGAGCAGTGGGGGGGTAGAGGTACTTTTTCTTTTTCTGTCAGATCAGACATCAATACTAAGCTATTCAACAGTGGGCTATCTCATTTATCAGTCCAAAAATAACAAAATAAAAAAACCCATATACAACTGGCGGCATTTATGCCTGGAGACCATGGAAAATTGTACGAAAACCTTTATGTTTTTCATCCTAACTGCAAGAACAACCGGTCTCTAAGTCTATTCAGAGTGGATTATTTCCTCTGATGAGACTCCACAAGTTAAAACTCATGTGTATAGTAGGAACATATGTACATACCTGCATATACATGGTTAATGTAGTTTCACTACTCTTTGGTTGTATTTGTATTTGTCATAACTAATTCTTTTTTTTTACTTTTCTTTATGGTCTAAGATGTATACGTGTATATAAATGATTCACTATTGTTTTATTGCTTATTGATCTAATGCTTATAGACGCACAGTAGTTCTGAGGGGTGGGGGGGTGCAATTTGACATTTTTAAAACACCAAAATCTGTATCTTGAGCCAAGAATGTCACTCTGTTCTGTGTTTAACCTCCTGAGACCCAAGCTTTTATTTGGCACGCATTTTAGCTTTTTTTTAAAGATATATGAGATACATATTTAATTAAATGTTTTTACAAATTTTGTTCTGACAGTCCCATTGACTTATTTACATTTTTTCTATTACACAATAAGAACATGATTGGATGGAAATGTATAAAACCATTTTACTTTAGATTTCAAACAGTGTCTGATAGCATCTGCTATGAGACCAAGAGGTCAAAGCTGAAAGAAAAAAAGAAGTATCATGGTAAAGAGAGACAAAAATGCAACGTCCACTTATGAGGACACAGGGTCTCAGGAGGTTAATAAAAAGACATTTAAAAATAAATGCATTTTTGAAAAAAGGTTGGCGGGAAATCGTATTTTTTGGGACATTTCCGTGTCGTTTTGAACACTCGTACCTGGCCTGAACTCCTCTGACGCAGTGGACACTACCGGGGTGGTAGGTGCACACGCTGCCCCTCTCCATGTCACAGCTGTAATCAGCCTGAAAAGAACAAGAGAAGCTGGGATTTGTGAGGAATTAAAGGAATTCCAGCCCAGTGGCGGTGGAGGTGTAGATCCAGTTGACTTAAAACTGCATGATTTCCGTGGAAACAGTAAAAGTGTGACTCAACTATTGGTTAGAGACAACCCCCGGTTCTTATTAGTGATTTCCTTTAAGCCTTTGTGGGTTTCTTATTTTTATTTTTGCATGGAAGAACACACAAAGGAACTACAGAACACGGATATTTTCCCCAGAGAAGATGGACATCCTCTGTAACAGTCAGGAACAGGTTGCAGTCTGAACAGATTTTTTTACCCCAATATTGTTTAGAAGCAGATGTGTGAATTCAAACCTGTTTTTTTGGTTTGCACATTAAGGCAATCTTTAACCTTCTCTTTCCCAATGAGTAGAACTATCCCACTGGGGTCACTGTACACAGCTATTTGAGTCTATTTTTTCCCCCTTTTTCACTTTTTTTTTTTACTATGTATCACAAACAACTCACCCTAAAATATAGAAACTAATTGATTTCCCAAGAACGGGTCATGAACATGAAGATTGATTTGATTTTAGCTAAATGCTGCCCTCTT